ACCGCAATAAGTCTGTCTGCTTGCGGTTGGGTTCGTGGAAGGGAGTTTCTCTTCCCGGACCTGTCAAGATACTCGGCGTCTGGTTCGGTCCCGACCTCCTGTTGGAAATGAATTGGTCGGAGGTGAGAGAGAAGGCCGAGGTCGCAGTTCGTCTGTGAACTCGGAGGAATCTTTCCTTAAAGGGGAGGCGGAAGTATGTGCCTCGCACATCTACCCGATTCTCCTTTACCGACTCTCCGTGCTTCCACTCCCGCCTGACACTTTATTGGCGTTCTTGTGGGGAGGCAAGACCGCCATGGCTAGTCGCGAGATCTGATGGCGGTCTGGGGGTGCCTTGCGTTGAGACTCGTCAACATACGCTTCGCATTACTTATCTAGACGGGATGTGTATGCAATTGGATGAGAACGGCGAATTCTGGAAGGAAGATGCCCGTAAAATTTTTCCATCCCTGAGAAATGTGCGCTCGTGTGAGGAGGAGGCCGGCCATACGCCTCCAGGCGAGGGCTCTTTCTGTCGTGAATGTCGGCTTGCCCTCAAGCGACTCTTACAGGCGAAGGATGGCCTCTTCGACGTCCAACCGTTGTCCCGTAAGACATTATATCAGGTGTTAGTTAGTGGGAACGTTCAGGATGCCTTGATGGGCGAGCTCGGTCTGACGAAGCGGGGTGCTCGCTGCATATGGCCTTGGGTGCCTGGGCTGAAATGTCTCACTAACACTGAGGCATCACTCACCTGACAGGTCACCTTTGGGTCGCCAAAAGACTTTGTGTGGCGGGTTTGGTAAAGTCGCCAAACCGCGTTCGCTGCAGTGGGGAGGTGGAGACCCTAGGTCACGACCTTTTTCAGTGTAGCGTCGTAGCTCCGTTGTGCAAGTTTTGTTGAAGACATCATGGTTCGCATGCTGCGCGGAAAGTTCTTTGTCCTCGAGGCCAGTTCCGTCTGTAGCAATATAGTACCGCCGTTGACTAAGGCTGAGCACTATGTGTTCCTTTGCTTACTGGGGGGTTATTATGCGAGTCGCGATATGGACGACGCGACAGGAGGAATTTCATAGGCGCGGGAAGTTTACCTCTTCCCAAATTATCTTGTTCTTTAAGCATCAGCTTAAAGTCAAGATCAGGGCGGAAAGGAAACGACTCCAACCATTGGAATGTGGCGGAAGATGGGTGAGTCTTGCGCGTCTCTGCCGAGTGAAAGGTGCTGACTTGGAGTGGCATTTTGATGCCGGTTAGGCATTAAGAATTTTGGGATTGCTGGGTTGAACATTGACAACCCTTCCCGTGTATAGGTTAGTTTAGGTCGGTTTTATTTTTTTTTCTTCTCCTTTTTCATGTTAACTTAGCTATCGTATGTATGCTCATTGGCCCCTTTAATTTCTGGCCCCATCTTCTTTTCTTTTGTTTAATTCCCAATCCCCCCCCCCATCGTTACGTGGTTACAGTTAGGGCTGTGGGGGGTTTTACTACTAACAAAATTTTTGTTTAGTTTCTTGTATATAGTTTTGTACATATATGTAAATAATCATTGGGGTTTTTAAATTTTTAAATTGTTATTTTTATCCCCCTCCGCCCACAGACAATGAATTGTAAATATGGGGACTAGTTTAGGACTTCATAGAGTTTCTGAAGCATTATAGTGGTTGAGGTAAGAATGGTAAGTAAAAATGCGTTGTTTTGGTGAAAGGAATATTGTTTGTATGCCTGGGTCAGTGATTGTGACTAGCCAAGTCCCTTTCCACATTCCCCCTTTTTTGGCCTTGTGCCACATTTGTACAGTTTACGTACAATAAATATAGTGAGACCAGAAGCTTCCAACGGTGAAGCCAAAACTGTTCATGAGAATTGTAGCTGAAGACAGTGGAGTTGAAATATCCTTTCTTGAACATTGAATCAGAAAATTCAACATCTCCTACAAAAGAAGCTGCATCAACTATTGTAAAAATTTACATAACAAGTAATGTAAAAATAATAACATTTTTCACATACACTCACTCAAATACAGAATACATCCTTTCCAACATTACAATAAATAATTTATATTTCACATATAAGCTTTAACGATTGTCGAATTCAAGAAAGATTGAATTTATTAATTTTAAATTCTATTTCTTCTCTGCGAACAATTACAATCAAAGGTAGATAACTTCGTTCAATTATAAAAAAAAATATTGTAAATAATTTTTTACTGATTTGTTGTATAAGAACAGTAAATTCAAAACTGACTTACAAGAAAAAGAACAAATCAAAAACATCCAAACTTATGTGACTGAAACATTTAAAACCAGAAGACAGTTTCTGAAATAATTCACTGTCGTAAAAATATTTTTGAACGATATCTTTTAATAACAAAATATTAACAAAAATAAATTAACCATTAAACTTTAAAGCCTTCTGATAATAATTCTTTGAATTATCACCCAGAACTCTGCAACAACTAATTAGTTGAATTGGTCAGTTATATTATATTTTTTGTCTCTGTTGTAAAATAACGTGTTTTATAAGCTTGGAAGACTTGAATAGACAAGACATCAGTTGGTGAGGGGAAGAGGTCAAATTTTCGAGAAAGAAAAGATCAGAAGACGTAATTCACAATTTTTAAACGTTTAACAACTGTTAAATGGAATTAGCCCCAAAATAATTCTGTCATTTATTTAATTTAATAAAGTAAAGACAATAATGTAGATATCTTCAGTTGTCATAGTGGCCAGAAATTTGACACTTAAAAAAAGAAGCTATGCAATAAAAGTTTTAAGTTGCAATAAGTTTTAATAAAATTTAAATTAAATGTTTCTGCTAATCGAAAGCAGAAAGAATTATATCACTTTTTCGCTATAAAACAGCATAGCATGATGAAAAAGTCCCCAAACTTAATAAACAAAATTTTATCGTCAAAACGTTTTATGTTATTTATTAGCAAAGTATTTTTTAATTATTTTTCTCCTTTCTAACACGTTCGAAATTTGGGTTAAGCGTAACGGTAATGGATATTTTCTGGTAAAATAGCGCATTAATTTGGAAATTCTTGCAAATTCAAATAACTTTTGTATTTTAATGAAACTTTCAGCATTACTTATTCACAAATGAATGAATTTATTTTTGAAATTATTATTTTTAGAAAATCTTGGTAAAAAAACATCTGTTACCCCTCACCCCATTTACTTAACTTCATGAAATTTCTAGAAATTAAATTCCGCCTTCCAAACGCAGGACTCCATGGAGTTTTTTTTTTTTTTTAAACTATTACCAAATTCCTTAAAATCTGCTCCGAATCGTAAAATAAAACCTAATTAATTAATCTAATTCTGGCATAATTGTAAAAGCCAATAATTTTCTTATAACAGCCTTTTCAAAATTTTAGAAAAAATTATTTTCGTGCAACAGTACCCTCCATCTTTTTTTGAGATGATTTTGCTTTGTGTATCGAGGCGTAAGGATTATACTTTTAAAAAAGGAATCTTTCAAAAATAAATGCTGAAAAAATAAAAATACCATACAAAAAAATAGTACAAAAATGTTTGAGGTAACATTTAATTTATAAGGGCACACAACAAAGGCAGACAACACGAGCGGAGTTTTAAAAAACAAACGATAAATTTATTGTCAACACAAAAATGAAAGAATTACACCAATTAAGTGCTCTGTGTGCCAATAACATGTATGTAAGAATAATCAGTGCAAACGAAATATGCCTCATTTACAATAAATATTACAGTGCTGTATATGCTCCTCAGAAAAGACAAAAAAAAAAAAAAAAAATAACCTAAAAATGAATGAAGAAAGGAGAAAATACTTCTCTGAATAGTTTTCAAAGAATTGGTATAATTTTTAAGCAAAGTCCATAGTAACAGTGAAGAACAGAACAATGACACCGGCTGAAGAATTTTCTTTGATGTGGGAGCGACTTTGATGTTCCTTTCAATTCTCGTCTGGTAGTCGTCAAATTTCTTCTGTGTTGTTTTTCTTCCTGGACCAGGGAGACTTGGATTCACGCAGCAGCTGTTAGTCGACTCCTCGAATTCAATTCCTGACCCCCTATTTTATTCATCCAGATAGGCTCCGAATTCACTTCTCGGAATTTGGAGGGACACCTTTTGATTGGTTCCGAATGAAAAACAAACACATCTATTTTCTCACAAATCGAAATGTACCAAAAATACTTTTGAAATTCAAAGGTTTAAACTAAGGCCCAACACAGCGGCTGTTTTCTTTCAGAAAAGCAGACGATACGCGCTCAAGTAGCTTAAATTTCTTATCGTTGTGAAAAATATAGTTTCTATCATAGAATTTATTGTTCTAATCTCGTACATGCGATATTTAGTCATAAACATTTATTGAAGTTGCAGTTTTGTTAATGCGTGTTATAAAATTGAGTATTCCATTTGTAGTCTCGCCCTCTTTCTTTCGTCGCTTGATGAGCGATATATTACAATCATTAAAGGGTGACATGTACCTATGCCAACTTCTACCCCAGTAGGCATGAACATCGACACAATACATTTGTTCTGTTTAACATCCAATTGAAATCGCATTTTTTATTTTTTTGATTCTTAAAAATAAAATGACACCAGGTTTCTCGTAAAATCGCGACAATTATAATTTATAAAAGTTAAAAGCTAATGAATATATTAAGCATAAATCTGAATAAATTTCAATGAATGTCTGTATTGGTGAAGTGAAAGAACAATGGTAGAAAGTAAAAATTTAAAAATAAAAGCTGACTGTTCTAGATTACTTTTCTTTTATGAGAATGAAAATATTTTAAGGAAGAACAATTAATTGATAGTCGCCTGGAAAGAGTGCAGTTTATGTCTTATGAATTGTGTTTTTGTGACCGGGAGAACATCGCGCTTTTTAGACAATAAATTCAAAACAGAATTGATCAGATATTATCATTATATTGTAAAATAATCATGAAATCAGAATAATCACTTGGTCTCATGTGTCCGATTTATTTCAAATGTTGGTCAAGTGATCGTTACGAAGCGGCTTAAAACTTGTTATCAAACAAAAGAAAGAAGAAGAAAAAGAAAAGAAAAGGGTAATGAGTCAATTCGAGGAACATGAAAGGCGGGACAGAATAGTAGAGGGAGTGAAGAAAAGAAGATGGAAAGAGAAAGAAGATGAAAAAGAAGAAGAAAAGGGTAATGAGTCAATTCGAGGAACATGAAAGGCGGGACAGAATAGTAGAGGGAGTGAAGAAAAGAAGATGGAAAGAGAAAGAAGATGAAAAAGAAGAAGAAAAGAGAGGAGAAAGAAAAAAATAGAGAAAAGAATGGAGAGTAGATGAAAAAGTAAAAAAAAATAAAAATAAAAAAATAAAAGAAAGTAAAAAAGTAGGATGAGAAAAAAGATACGGTAAAGTAGCAAAGATGAGAGTGAAGATGGTAGCAAAAAGAGAAATAGATTGATAAAAAAATAGGAGAAGGAAGAGAAGTCGGAAAAAGAAAGAAAAAGTGTTTATAAAAATCCGAGGAAGATGACATGAAATTAGCAAAGAAAGAAAAAAATCGTAATTGTCTGAATGTAAGAATCTATAAAAAAAATCTCAGTATGTGAAAATTAGGAAAGTAGAAATGGAAATCTTTTTCAAAAGAAATAAAAAACGTAAAAGAAAAAAATAACTGGAAACAGAAAGAAAAGAGAACAAAAGACTATTATAGATAAATTCGTATTAATTTGGTCGGTCGATAAAGTGCAAATTCGTATAAAAGCGACAGTCTTTGACAAGAAAGAGAAAAAGGTGTTGGTGCTACGCTACCAAAAATATCAGCGACAGCATTTATGATCGGCGTACATTGGATTTCAGAATTGTCACCTTGGCCAAATCACATTGGCACCAGCGTTTAATCGGATGACATTCAGAATTATCGTGTCCTATATACGGGTTTCTGACAATTACCGTCATTTTCAAAGCTAAATGCAGAAGTAACTTGCAAGAAATCGTTTCCAAGCTTTCAACACCGACAACAAAAGAATAATGAAAAGAATTTAATTTTGCGTAGATATGATTTTCTAAAAGCAAATTGAATTTCTTTTCTTTCTCAACATTTTTTGACCGAAACAGAAAAAAAGTCACTGATTTTTAATTAAATAAATCGACTTTCATGTCAAGAAATTTAGCAAATCGTCGATAAATTATTTCGTTTTCCATTTTGTCATTTCTATCTTTTGTTTCGGCTGTCATTTTATCATTTCTACATTTTCCATAAGGAACTGTTTTTTGTTTCCCGCTTTTTGAGATTTTTATATTTCATTTTTTTATTAGGATTTTTTGTAATTCGCTTCAGCCTTTATTATTTTCTCGTTTTTTGCCTGTGTGTGTCTCTTTGATTATTTCTCTATTTCTTTAATGTATTTTCATTGTTTTATGTCCTATAACACCGCTATATGTCTCTTGGGTCTTTTCTCTATTTGTTTTTTTTTATTTTGTATTTATTATTATTATTATTATTATTATTATTGTTGTTGTTGTTGTTGTTGTTTTTTCCAATATTTTCGATTTGATCAGCTAATAAAACGTTTCCAAAGAGGTGATTTCTATCAAGTGATCAGATAAATTCGTGTTTCTTTTTTTTTCTTTTTAATTTTTCTTTTTATCTTTATTCCATTTTGTTAGAGTAGAGTTGCCCATCATGATACTCGGTCTTAGTTCCTTTCTCTTTCTCTTTTCTTCACACACACACGAGAGCGTGCGCGCACATCATCATCATTATCATCATGTATAGAGAACGGCAAAAGGTGGGGGGGTTATTCATTAAAATGCCAAAATCACAAAGTGAACATGCAAATTCAATCCCAATTTCTTGTGTTGACCGATCCCAAATTATCCGGGCATCACCTGACACACAATATTACCTATTCTTCCAAAACACTATACAACTATACAAAAAAAAAAAACTCTTCTTTGAACTCTGAGTTTAGTATTTATAAATTAGATTCCGATTATTTTGTGTCAGTCAAAATCCTTTTCTTCAGTTACTTTTGATTGTGTTTGTGGATAGTGATTTGGCATCTAATAAATAAAATGCAACCTAATCAAAGAAAATAGATCAAGTCTATAAGCGAACTTGAGAGACTTTCAGTCATTTATCGCTTAAATGGATCGCGGTGTGTGTTTGGGAAAGCAAATGGCTTGTGTGTCGGAGAGAATTGTTTTACAAATGTTCAATTTCATTGTTGCCATAGTCACTCACACACAATATTACACAATATTCGGGGAAATAATATTTTGAACATCATTTAGGCTTTCAAGTGGTTTGTCTCTTGACAGAAGTCGAAAACCGTCTAAAACAAATATCTTTTGACTGAATTTTGATATCGAAATATATGCTGAGTTAAAAATAAATCAGAACGTTGTTGTTATTATTATTATTATTATTATTATTTCTTTGGATTTCTGTTACATACTCATTTCTTTTCAGGTCTCAACCAGGAATTTAAGCTCAGAAATGGTATCATGACATTTTCCATTGAATATTTGTGTAAAAAAATAAAATAAAATAAAATAACTTCCAAAACACAAAGATTTTGCATAGATAAAATCCTTAGTAAGACGTGAGTTGTCCGTGTGAAAACAACATTTTGTATTTATTTAAGGCATAGACTGCCAGGATTTCGTTCGGTGAGTATATCAGAACCTTTTCCAATTAAAACGAGGGCCCCAACCACAAATGGAATTAATGATATCTTCATGCGCCACAATTTTTAGATTTTCACTTCAAGGTCTCTGCATTTCGATAGTTTTTTTGAAATTCTATTTTGAACTTGTTGGTTTCCTTTATAGCAGTGTAAAGTTTCTTATTTCCTTTGTGTTCTTTGACACGAACAATCATTCAGTCTTCTACAGTTTTTAGGTATCTTTTGAAGATCGATTGATGTCGTTTTGAAAGACAGTTCTAGTTGAACTAGTTCTCTGCCTTCTTCGGTTATGGACATATACATATCAACATCAGCCTTAGGTTGATGCATGTAATGGGAAAAGAAGCTTTTTCGTTTTGTAATCCATTCACTTAATGTCAGCCTATGTTGCAGTTGAGAATGTTGAAACTGTATTGCAACACAAGGACAACCAAAGTGTTTATGGCAGACTGTTTTGTGAATTCAACTGGGTATTTAACAACAGGCTAACACGCCTGTAGTATTTTTTCTTACTTTCTCTTTCATTAAGGTATGCTGTATTCCATTCCTTCGCTGGCTCTTGTTTCAGTTCCCTAATTTTTGTGGCAAAATCGAGATCTACTGAGTATGTTTCAGTAATTCTCTCTTTCTTGAATGTTACTTTTGTACATTTATCTAATCCTAAGTCCAAGCCGATGTCATCATTGAAACATTTTAAAGAAACCTTTTAAATCATTGTTGTCTTTGTCAAAAAGTTTGAGATCATCTATGTAGAATAAGTGATTAAATATTTTGTTCTTTATTTTTTTCTTTCATAGTTATTACCGTTTAGTTCATGCAAAAGAGAACTAGGGACAAACAAAATAGATGGGGTGAAAGGGAGTCACCTTTGAAAAATTCCTCGTCGGTTATTCAAACGAGCGGTGTGATTATAATGTGGTTTTCCATAATTCCATGCTACATTTCAGGAAATTTTCTATCATCAAAGAGACTTTGTACCTTTCCAAAGCCTTCAGGTTCCAAGAATGTAACACACTATCAAAAACTTTACGATAATCTATCCAATCTTTGCTGAGATTTCTACATATTTTCCTGCAATTTTCCAAGGTCATTTTATTTATTAATAGCTGATCTTTGCAACTATATGAGCTTCTTCGATATCCTTTCTTTTCCAGGGGAAGAATGTTGTTGTTCACCGAGAAAACAGTAAGTACAGTCAAGTCAGTACAAACGTAATTAATTTACATGCAGAGGACAGACTGCAAATTTCTTTCCGTGTCCCAAACAGAGGCCTAAAGTCAGAAATGGCATCATGACATTTTCCAATTAGCATTTTTTAGGTAAACACACACACACACACACACACACACACACACACACACACACACACACACACACACACACACACACACACACACACACACACACACACACACACACACACACACACACACACACACACACACACACACACACACACACACACACACACACACACACACACACACACACACACACATTTTACATAAAGTCCTTCTTAAGGAAGAGGCTGTATTTGCGAGTATAATTTTTTGTATTTCTTTAAGGCATAGGCTACCGGGAATCCTTACAGCGAGTCTCTTGGAATCTTTTCCAATTAATCCGAGGGCTCCGACGACAACTGGAATTGTTGATGTTTCCATGTACCATATTTTGGAGATTTCGATTTCAAGGTCCTTGTATTTTGATAATTTTTTAAATACATTCAAAGATACACTACAATCTCCATCGACTGCCATGTCAATAAGAAGGCACATTTTGCTTTTGCATACTCTGATCACGATGTCTGGGCGATTAGCTTTGATTGTTCTGTGTGTATTGTAAAGTCCCATAAAATTGTTACAGGTTCTATCTCTGTAACCAGATCTGGGTGGCGTTCATACCAATTTCTTGTAGTTTTCTTTCCGTAAAAAGTTACAGATTTCAGAATGCAGATATTGGCCCACTCTGTCATTCCGGGTGTTATATTCAGTGGGTTCCAATACCGCACACCCTGATAAAAAATGGTCAATTGTTTCTGAATATTTATCACAGAATCTGAATTTTGTTTGTTTGGTAATTTCTTTTAAGCAATCATTGGTTCTGTGCAACAAGAATAAGACCTTCGGTTTCAACTTTTAACACTGCACTACGAAGCCACTGATGGGCACAGGGTTTGTCTACATCAGCTTGTTTGGTACGGGCAGAATATTAACCGTGAAGAGGTTCATCCCACCATCGTTTCTGTACCTGGTCGATTGCACTTGCCTTTCCTTCCTTTTTTTAAGGTTTTTGCAGCTTCACTAGGAATGTTTTACTTGCATTTCTTCAACGGCTTGAAACTCCATTTTGAACTTGTTGGCTTCCTTTATTACTGAATAAAGTTTCTTACATCTTTCATGTTCTTTGACACAGATCATCATCAAGTTTTCTGTAGTTTCCAGATATCTTTGAAAGCCGACTGTTGTAGTTTTGTAAGACAGTTCTATTTGAACTAATTCTCTGCCTGAGGACATACAGACGATTAATTATTATTAATATAATCACCTGAATTTACGGTTCTTCTTCTTTTTTTTATAGCTGTTGATTTTTTTAACAAATTAATTCAACTAAAGTAAATAAAAAATAAAAGCCTAATTAGGAGGAATAAGACAATGAAAATTTGTAGAGAGTTGTAAATATGCAAAATCATCGATAGCTTTATTATGACAAATATTAAATTATTTATTTATTATGACAAATAATAATTTTTATGTAGAAAAAGGAAAGAACCTATCGATCAAGTGAAACTGCTTTTACAGGCTGCGGCAGAAATACATACCATATTTTAAAGGCTGACAGAAAGATCAAAGTAACAGCCATTTAAAAAGTTATTTCACTACTATTTAAACAAAGGGCTTTTTATTCATTTGTTTTTTTAAATGACATTCTTTCTTCGCCATGCATTATTGCAGACGATTTCTAAAATTTTCCGTCACCCGGAAGTTCGAGCGTTTCGTGGTCTCTCAGAAGGCTTTCTTTTAAGCGCTGAACCTGTGGCCCTGAAATTTTCAACCCATAGTTTTATCGATTTTCAGAACCATTTCGAACTAACATGAAATGAGCACCAATAGCTCTGTGGTGCAATTACAGATTCACCAGACTTTAAAAAAAAGTTTCCACAGTAAACACATTTCTAACATCACAAGGCACTCGTGTAAGCTACTATAGAGTAGAAAAAAAAGGATCTTTTTTCTAGATTTTGATATACAGGGTTATTCATTTCATATGCCCTCATTTAGTAATGGATAACGGATGCTGATGCATTTTTTCACTGGAACATTAACTGTAAGTCCTAAACATCTAAATTATTTCTTTGAATGTGAGACGATGTAATACATTTTGTTTTATGTATTTTATTATCTGACATATTTTATAAAAATGTTTAAGTGTTAAAACAAATCGACAAATTGATGAAGAAGAAAAAGATTCGAGTTGTCATGGGAACAATTGCCAAATACCAGGAATTTTTTCTTAACAAGAACTCAAACAAATTTTTAGTGAACTCCAGGCATCATTTTCAATAACAATCCAAATGTAGAAAACAAAACTCTAGTCTTTGAAAAGCAAAAAAACAACAGCAAAAAAAAAAAACCAAAAAAAACAAAAAACAAAAAAGAAAATAACAGAAAAGCAAAAAACAAAAACAAACAAAAAAAGAAAAGCAAGAAAACGTTCTATATTTCGAATTAGAAAACTGAGTCGTAAAATTGTCGAATTAAATCCTATTTCATCATTTTTTAATCATTTTAATCCCATTATTTAAAATCGTTCCTAATCCCATTATTTTTAGCGTTCTTAATCCCATTAATTTTTATCATTCTTAATCGCATCTTAATCATTCTTAATCGTTTTAATTCTACTATTTTAAATCGTTCCTAATCCCATTAAGTCAGACAAATTTGAATTCTCTTTATATTTCATTATGTTTTTTTTTTTTTTTTTTTGTAATTTCACTTGTTACTTTTGAGAATGCAAAGGCGAGATATTCATGCAATTTTACTAACCAAATCTGTAATTTATAATCGGGAGTAGTGTTTGAAGCATTTGGGCGGTTACGTTCTTCGACACTAGGAAAGTCGAGATGTGCACAAGTCGATTTACTTGATGAATAGAAGAAAACAAGACGAAGCACTTGCTGGATAAATATTGTTGGCGCTGGATTCTCGGCTTACATGGTAGAGATTTTTTTATGGCAAGAGGACAAACACGAAATATAGCCAATAAAACAGAAAGTTTTTGTTCGCGCAGTCTTGCAGAAATGATGATCTACTGAAAGAACCTAGAAGATTTTTTAAATACTTCACTGGCCGTTGATGATCTTTAGGGATCTGGGCAAGGGGGGTGGGGATAAGACGGAAAAAGGAGCCTCAAATGTCGGTATGAAAGATACGATATGGCAGGAAAATAAAGAGAGAAAAAAGAAAGCTAATAAATTGAAAGGGCAAGTTAAAGAAATAGTAAGAGAACAACAGTGAAAAGAAAGAAAACAATAAGAAAATGAAAAACGTAGCGTAGAGATGACTGAAAAATGTATGATGGTTGGTTGAGAAAGAAAAGAAGAACGAAGAATAGAGGGGGAAAGCGAAGGAAAAATGATAAAGAAAAGAATGACTGAATGAACAGAAGAAGGAAGAAAGACAAGAGAAAAGAAAAGAGAGAAGAAAGTGGGGAGTGAAAGAAAACAAGAAGTAAGGATAGAAGGAAGGAAGGAAGGAAGGAAGGAAGGAAGGAAGGAAGGAAAGAAAGAAAGAAAGAAAGAAAGAAAGAACAAAGGAAAGCGAGAGAGAAAACTAAAATAAATTTTTTAAGGTTAAAAAAATGTAAGCTACTCAGAAAAAAAGATTTGGGAAAGAAAGTAATCTTCAGATGTTAAAAAGATAAAGTAAAACTGTAAACAAAAAAAGAATGAAAAACACAATGTTCTTTTTTTCTTCTGGCGAAGAAGTAGAAAGGTGAAACTCAATGAAGTCTACTAAATAAAGCAAACAAGAAGAAATAAATAAAAGATCAAATCAAGAAATACTTAATTTGTGCCGGTAAACGATGACGGGTGGTCGCCAAAGAAAACTCTTAAGCCGGACATGTGGTCTTGAGAACTTTGTGAAAACGAACGGAACAATCTGAAATCTCCTAATTTAGCAGGAGACGTCCAAATCCTTTAGATTAGAGCAAAGGACAGACAATTAATTAAATGGGTTATTAATTCATCAAACCATGGCTTTGATGAGTTTTCAAAGGAATGTGAACATTCGAATGCTTGTTCTCAAGGGATCTTTTTTTTTATTCTTCTATTTTCATCCGACCATTGTGAAAATACTTGTAAAATCTTTATAATTTGTGAATATTATTAATTGTTGTCGGAATTTCAATTGTATCTTATTATCAACACAAATATCATTATTTTACGACACGTTGTTTGAGAAATTACTCTCTCTAAATACGGAAATAATTTAAAAACAGCAATAATTATGAAACACACACACACACACACACACACACACACACATATATATATATGTAATTTAATTTTTGTTTATTTTTATAAAGGGAGAGTGATTAATGTCGGAGATATGGTGTTTATAGGTCAACCACATCGTCTCCTAGGCTCGGGTGTAGCCGTACGATCCCTGAGCAGCTAAATGCCTGAACAATTAATTCCACATGTCTGGGTTGAAATCCGGATAGATATTCATTCATGTGTAGAGTGTCTTGGGAGATTAGAACTGGCGGAGTCCATCCTTCTTTAGGTCAAACTACGGCTGATATTATTCAATCAGAAGGCCGCCTTGGTCACGGACATGTGACCGTTAATTCCATTGGGCGAAATCTCCGCTCTGGCCGTTGACTTCAGTTTAGGAAACCTTCCGCCCAGAGGAGCCGTGTGATGATGCACTGACTACATATAGTTGAAAGATTTCTTCTTTGACATGTTTTTTTTTCGTTAGAAAAATAATTTTATGAACAAAATCTACATTAGAGCACAAAAGTGGATTTACATTGAACAATCGTTTGTTTGTTTTTACTTTAATATGATCGTTTTAGAATTTTAACTAATTGTTACTTTATTTTGTTTCTCATATTATGTAATTTCTATAATGATAGAATTTTTCTGCTCACATACCTTTTCTATTTACATATCAAAATACAGAACGTCACAAAATAGATGTTAAAAGTCGCTGGGAGTTTAAATCAAACAATAAGATTTAAACATTATTGGTTTATATTTTTTTATCTGTTTTCTTATAACATTATTTTTTTAAAAATCTCTAATCGTTTACTGTAGTTTACACATTTTTGGTTTTGGTTTTACATATACTTTTTCTTTTTCTTTTCGATTGTACTTATTTTCTAAAGTGAGAAATATAAACAGAAGATGAAGCTTTCTGATTTGAAAATTAATCAGACCAAGAATGGAGTATTGTTGCCATATCTGGGCTGGTGTTGCCCTGTTCTCGCTGTCCAGTCTCGAAAGAGTCCAAAAGCTATTGCGCGGCCTTGTGGGTGATGAATTATTCTCCACCATTCAACCCTTATCCAACAGACAAAGCGTTACTAGCCTCTCACTAACGCTATTATTATGGCAGATGTTCAAACGAGTTATATTCCTTGGTTCCACCAGTTCAGACCTTCACCGCTAGGACCCGCTACGTCGTGTTCATGGTGGCAAATTCATCTTCATTTCCTTCGTATTCATTTGATAAGGAATAATTTTCACTCAGACTACTTCTTCCCCAAAACTGTTACTCCCGTGTGGATGCTTCCCTGACAACTACAATCTTGATCTCACTCTCTCTCTCTCTCAACCGACACCTATCTTACACGTCCTTTTAAAATTCCTCCTTTCCCCTCACTTACAACAATTTTACTTTACTCAGTAACCCTCTACCCTGATTGGTCCTTGGGCGAAGTTATTGGATGAAGTAACAGTAAAAAATCGGCAATAATAATTTTTTTAAACAAATGATACAATAACATTCTCAAGCCAAATTTAGTCATCTGTATAGCTACCTTATAGCCCTTAAATCCCCCCCCCCAAGTTCTTGAAATAACATAAGCGACGGATGTCACCCCAAATATGAGCATTTGTTTTTTTGCTATCAATTCTGCTGGGAAGGTAACTATTTAAAAGTTTGTATTCGGGATATGAGGCCAGGTAAATAAGTAAAAAAGTAACTACATGTATTGTAAAATAACCAATAAATCCCCAAACGCAAACACTCTGAAAACAAACACCATCTTTCCTATCAAATAACATGTCCAACAGTAAAGAGGTGGTGATTGAAGCCCCCATCTGAAGATACTTTAACTGAAATCACAGCAAAAAGGCGGACCTGAAGTGTTCAGCCCTTTATTTATCCTCACTCTGCTTCGGGTCGCCTATAGAGTTTGTATAGACAGATCGGTAGGCATACCCAGTACCCACATCCTTGTCACCAGTGTGTGAATGTGTCTGGTCTTCGTACAAATCATTGTTTTATTTTCAAACCATATGACCGCTTTGAAGTGAAAAAAAATACATTAACTAATCGTTTATTTTATTTTATTTTTTTTTTACATGACAGTCTTTTGTTAAATACCGAGTCGTTATTGTTTTGAAGGTTACTAGTTGTTTAGGTTGGGGAAAGAGGAACAGAAGAAATGAAAAGGAAAATGTGTAGAGAGGAAATTAATAGAGAAATAATGGACGAGATTTCAAAAAGTGAGATGAGAAAGAAAAGAAAAAAGAATAAAATGAATAGAAAGAGAAAGTTGAAATAAAAATGAAAAAAAAACAAACAATAATTTAAGAAGTAAATATAAATTATAACTATAAATATAAATTTATAACACTACGCCAAACAGGAAAATATGTTTATAATGAATCTTTTGTTATCAATAATAAAACTCGTTTCTTGGTATGTTCATGTTGTTACGAGCTAACATTTTTTTTTAATAATTTGCTAGAATGGGAAGACAAAAGAAAAATAATAAAGTAATTAATAAAGTAAATTAATTGAACTTCATTTGTTTTGGTCCTTAAGGAAAAATACAGACATTCAAATCAAATCTCTCATTAATACGAACTTGTTTTCATATAGTGACGCGCATGATTACATAGACAAATTTCACAATTTGAAGGTAAAATTGATAAACAATAATTTCTGCATTCTACATTGTTATATGTATAGGAATAAGTGAAGAGGGAGATTTAAAGGGGAGAGAGTTAAAGGCGAGAGAGAGAGAAAAGAGAAAAGAGAGAGAGAGAGAGAGAGAGAGAGAGAGAGAGAGAGACGAAGAAGAGAAAGTACCAAGCTAGTCTCTTCTGATTTACTAAACATTTTCATTCACTTTCACTTTCAGCTGCAACAGAGGCAAAGATCAGATTATCTGCGAATTAAAAAGTTGAACTATTTTCAATTTTCAGTCATAACCTTCTCTTAATTAAATTGAAATAAAACGAAGCAGATTTCTTGTTTGCTGATTACTTACGTGTATATTTCTCGGAGTTACTTTTATCCTGTAAGCAAACTGACGTATAAATACCAAACGCAGAATAAAACAAGAAAAAAAAAAAAACATTAATACGTGCGTATATTTATGCGAGTGTTTCGCTGTTCTCTTCGGCGTAAATAAAAATGTTAAATAAAAATATATGAAAAAAATCATTGTCTATCGTCTTGCTTCAAACTTGTATTAACTGCTGCCTAAACAGACACACACACGCGATCATTTCTCTATCTCTCTCTCTCTCTCTCTCTCTCTCTCTCTCTCTCTCCCTAATATATAACTTTAAACGTTATTTTTAGTGGGTACCCATATTTGAGTAGAAGCCCCGTTTATTTTTGAAACAGTCTATATATTTTTGTCTACCGACCTGAATAATTTCTTGAGATCGCATATATTACTTTAATAAGATTAAATATTTACTTTAATAATATATATATATATATATATATGTATCTTTATGTGCGTCTCTTTCTATATATATTATATGCGTTTTTCTCTCTTGCTCTATGTATGTATATTTATATATTTGCGTATATTTTGGCAGCATGTTTTCATTAAAACACACACACACATACACACACACACATATATATATACATAAATTAAGTCATGTCTCATTAAATAATTTAGTTTACTTATTTATAAGTTATTGAAATATCTAAAACAAGACCCTGATTGTGCTAATGTCGAAATTGTGCTAATGTCGAAATTGTGCTAAAAGAGGACCATCATTTTGCTAATGTCGAAATTACTAGAAATAAAATGAATATGCATCAACATGGTATTTTTTTTCATCCTTTAATAAGGATACTAAGAAACTTGTCCATAATTACGAGCGGATCCTATTAAAAATAAATTGACAAAACTTAAATTATTTAATGAGACATGTCTTAATATATATATATATATATATATATATATATATATATGGCGAGAGAGAGAGAAAGAAAGAGAGAGACGCACATACACGTGTGTGTATCTGTATGTGTATGTGTTTTTGGATAGATGATAGCTGGATAGACTTTTCCCCTTCTTAAAACAGATCAGCATTCCGCCATTGTATATTGTCGACGTGATAGGGTTTGATTTCTTATTGCAAGTTGTAATTGCTTGTCAACGAGTATCAAGCCGTTTCTTTCGGCTGTATCACAAGGCCGACCATCATTACCCAATGCCTAACCACAATGAAAACACGTTGCGCCTCGTAGCTATTCCTTGTCTTTTTCTTTTTTTTTTTTTTTTATAAAAAAGCTTTTCTTTCTTTCTTTTTTTTTTTTTTACTGGCTTTAATCCTGAAAAGGCTCGCGATGACATATCAAAGAAACTTAGTCGTCTTGTTTTGCACTGCCTAGATTTTGTATTGTAAGCTAAGCACTTAACTACGATTATGTGCATCAAGGCTTTTTTGGGACCGTGCTTCTTTTTAACTGTCGTCCGGTCGTCTCGGGATTCGCTTTGAAAAACGCCAATGTCCGCCATAAAGAAGCGTAATTAACTGAATCAAGGGTGTCCACTAGTTAATAAAACATGGCGAACAGTTTTCCTGGTGATAGCTTGCTTAAAGTCTCTGAGCGTGTAACAGACACAGACGAAACG